ATTTTAAGTGCCTACCCCATAAGAGCAATTGTTAAAAATTTCATCCAGCTCTCTTTTCGTTTTCACGTCTTTTTAGTTTACTTGTTCCCATACTGATAACTCTGAAAATAGGTTTATGTTAATCAAACCAACAAACTAAAATAAGCTTCCACTTGCCAAAGATTGTTTTATATTGTGTTAACTTGAAAGACATTTGGGTTCGTTTCCGTTACATATGTATCAGTGCTTACTTTAAGCAAACTAAACAGAGCTCTTTACCATCTGGAGGTAAGATATCACACATAGATGACACACATATAGACACACATACAGACGCTCCACAGCTATTTTAAAATTCCCACATGAATCCGGTGCAGTAGTGTAAAGGTCACTGGTTATGAAAGAATAATGGAATTCAAATTTTGTTTTAAGCTTTTTCTCATAACATTTGTGGAGAAGACCCTCAACATACAGGATTTGGGGCAAGGCTGCCCTATGGCCATTTTTCTTGCCTTTTTTCCTTCTTTTTTCCTCAATCTTAAGAATAGGAGCTGGGCTGGATAAGAGTTCCTGGAGAGGTGAGGCAATAAGCCTTTTTGAGGTAAGGGAAATGGGTGGAATCTGAACTGCCTCTAGAGCTGCTTGCTACCTTTGCAAAGCTTTGTAACTTGAAGAGACTGCTCTTTATTTCTCATATATTTGGGTTCTAACATAAAAGACATTACAGGTCAATCTACCTATCCTACCACATCATCCTAATTGGCTTCTTTCCCTCTGGGTGCTTAGTTTCATTTTAACTTAGGGAAGAAGTTGAAGAAATTCTTATGAGGCTCTGAATATCAGCTTCCAGTTTGGCTGAACTTCTCATCATAAGTTGTTAACTCCTCCCAATGTCTTGTCAGTTTTCAGAGGGACAAAGAGTAACCACCTGGCAATATTGAACAATTCCATTACCTTTAACATAGCAGTTTCACAGAATGCCTCTCAAAGTCTCATTAACTCTGGGAGAATATTACAGGGGTGTCTGTAAAGACATGGCCCAAGATATTTTCCTGTAGGTAAATTTTATAACTTAATTTTCTATTAGCTTTGCGACAAAACTTTCAATAAGGTTATTTTTTAATTTTGAAGTTTTTGCTTTTAAGTGCAACTCTTAAATAATCTGATCCAATCAGGATGTTCCTTCTAATGACTGCTGCAATTTCTCTGAGGCTGGCAACAATTTCGTTGGACCCTTAGCGTAGAATGCAGTACAACTCACATTTCTGTCTGACTACCTCTGACTGCAAATGGGGTGCCACCACACTTTGTCTGACTGTACATAAAGACCCTGACCTGATGATTATTGAGCCAAACCCTCAGACACAAAGCATGGTAAGAATTTTTTTTCTGGGACCGGCCTCTGGGCCGAATGGTTAAGTTCGGGTGCTCCACTGCTGTGGCCCAGGGTTTCCTTGTTTCGGATCCTGGGCGCGGACATGGAACCGCTCATCTGGCCATGTTGAGGTGGCATCCCACATGCCACAGTAGACGGACCCACAACTAAAAAATATAAAACTATGTACTGGGGGGATTTGGGGAGAAAAAAGCAGAAAAAAAAAACAAAACAAACAAAGAATTTTTTTCTTTGTTCTTATATATTTACAGTTTCTGGAACCTTTAGTTGAGCAATTATGCCAGGAGCTGGACTCTTTCAACAATTTGAACAATTTCCCTATTACCTGGCTCTTATAAAGGAGCCCAGAAGTTGCCACTGTAACTTTAAATTACTCTGGGTTATCTTGTCAACCACTTACAGCTATCCTCATTTCATTAAGCACTTGCAAATTTCAACATGAAGCCAGCCAGAGTTCCCAGGGGAGACTGCCCATTTGGGAATGGTCAGCTTTTAGAAGCTCAATTTCCCATTTTTTGTTAGTTTATATTTACTATAAAGTCTTACCAATTTCTAGAGACAGTGTAATGGGTCTGCCACTCTCGTGAGGTTCTCAGTCACCTCAAACACCTTACAGCTGGGAGGACCTTGTGTCCCTTCTCTTCAGAGCTGAACAAGTTCAGACTCTCCTTTCTCTATCAAGCAGTTTGTTCAGACTTCATAAACACAATTCTTTCTAATTTAGAGCCAAATTAAAAGGTCAGCCTGCCCTATTCACTCCGAAGTTACCTCTCTAGCCTCCTAAGGCCTAGAAATTCCCCCTTAGGTTTCTCTTACGTACAGTATATACAAGTAGCCCTTTATGACACCTAGTCTTAATGTTGGAAAGAGCTCATATAAACTCTGGAGCACTGACTTAAAATAAGGAGGTCTGATTTTCCGGGGAAATCACTGGGTCACCTGAATGCAGTGATTTGGAGGGTGCAATGGGTCAATTTGTACCAAATGCCAGTTCACTGTAGATTCCAGGTGGTCTCCAGTGGGGTCTCTGGAATCTTTTTGCAATGACACAAAGAAATGTCAACACAAATTATTCAGAATTAATCTATAAATCAAAACTGGGGTGGGCTTATTATGAGCCAAGTTTGAGGACTTTCTTCTGAAGGGAAGGAAGGACAACAAAGAAGTGGGGTGTACAGAGTGGTTATACACCCCCTTAGCACAAAGAGTGTACATCACACAACACAGGAATATCTCTTTTACTACTGTCACAAGATCTTAGCTGGCACAGCAGGGTGGTGGTCCCAAGGTGAGCACAGAAGGTGGGTAGTTGATCCTTAGTTCCCAGGAGGAGATGCTAATGCTTAAACAAATGCTGATGGGAGGAGAAGTTACATCCCCATCTTGAAGGGCATCATTCTTGTCTTTGGGACATAGTAAATGTTGAAGCAGATGGACAATGCATGCTGCACAGGCCGCCTCAGGCCCCTTGGGAAAAACAAGGTCAGGCTGAATGAGTTTTAAGCCAAACGACTTCCTCATATACTCCAATATATGCGATTATTGCTCATTTATTCATCAGTGTTAAGTCTGACTATTCAAGAACATCCGCCATGAGTGATTACTTGTGCAAATAAACCTTCACACGGGGGCCTCCTCTGAGCCAGGTGAGCACTCACAAACAGGCCCAGTGGGAGCATCTATGGTACCTCACGGCATGCAGCAAATTTGAGCTGCTGCTCTTCGTGGCGAAAAAGTGGCCCCATGTGGGCTGTGATGGAAGATTTTGGGACAGAAACCTCAGATGTGGGATGTCTGTCATTCCACTCAGCAAACCTGCAGCAGGGCTTTGTCACATGAAATACAAATGTTTGGGCCAAGATTGTAAAGAACACAAAACATGGTCCTTGCCATCAGTGACCCTGTTTTGCCCTTTACAATATAATTCTCCCCTGTGAGCCTGGACCAGAGATCTGCTCTCAGTTCACTTTAAACTAGTGCTACAAGAATCACCCACCCAAAATCAGACCTTTCATTCACCCCTGGTAAAGGACCAGGAGAAGCAGAGTTCCTGACATTACTGAGGACTTGTTGACGATGAAAGTCATGGACAGCCCCCCTGTCTCCAGCTCCTGGGAAGCAATAGGCCAGTGAGGAATGCGGAATTCTGGTGGCCAGCTGACAGTGGGAAAAGCGACTTTCAGATGAAATAAGAGGATAAACATTGACCACGGTCCACTCTGCCACCAGTGCCCACAGAAGGGGTGGGAAATGACTTCTCCAAGTGCTGGGGAGGCCAGTGAGAATCAGATCAGTCAAACCCAGGAGGGAGCCTCCCCATTTGAGCTTCAAACTCTAAGCTGACGCTCTGTTTCCTGACCCTTCCCCTGGGGTCAGCAAACAAGAGGCCGTCATGTCCCTGCTGTGGGTGTGGATCCTCCATGGCTCCCACCTTCCCAGCTTGGAGCAGGAAGGCAGCTCCAGAGGCTTCTCTGGAAGTAGTTGCTGGCCTGATGGGTGACAACTTGCTGCCACCACAGAGGGCAGATGCAGCCCTGTGACCACAAAGCTTGAACCTTGCTTTCATGGGTCCATTGTGAAGAAAATGGGGACATCTGAAAGCCCCTGTGGTATGCTGAATAATGGACACCCAGCCATCAGGTGTCAGCTCAAGAACCTATGAACAGGACGAATTTGGTAAAAGGGTACTTCGCAGATGTGATTAAGTTAAGGGTTTTGAGATGGGAGATTATCCTGGATTTTTCGGGTGTGCCCTCAATTCCAGTGCATGTTATAAGAGAGATGCAGAGGGAAATCAGAACCCACAGAAGAGCAGGAGGCAACAGCTCCATGGAGGCAGAGACTGGAGGGATGTGGCTGAAAGTCAAGGGGTGCTGGCAGCCACTGGAAGCTGCAAGAGGCAAAGGACAGACTCTCCCTAGAGCCTCCGAGGGAGCGTGGCTCAGCCAACACCGTGACTTCTGCCCAGGGACACTGATCTCAGAGTTCCAGCCTCCTCAGCTCTGAGAGAATCAATTTCTGTTGTTTGAAGCCCCAAGTACGTGGTCATTTGTAACAGCAGCCTCAGGAAAGGAATCCAGCTCCAGACCCAGGAAGAAGGGACTTCACCTCCTGCTGCAGGAGCGTCTGCTCTGTCAGGACTCGCTGTTATCAGAGCAAATGGTGGAAGAGCAAGAGTGCGCGCATCCTTCTCGTGACCCTGTGACATGCCAGAGCTGCTTCTGCTGCAGGTTTGAACACAGAGGAGGCCCATGAGAATGTGCAAGAAGACAGCACAGCAAAGATATGGCTGCGAATACCCCCCGCCCTGAAGCATTTCCGGGGATCCCATGATTTGTATAGGAAACCAAGAACATTCCTCACATTTCATATGTGATATTATTGCTTTACCTGACTAGTAGAAAAGCACAGCTCTGTTCCCAGGGGCGGCCACCAAGCCTGCCCAGCCCCCCACCATCATGGCTGGGCTTCCTCTGCCTTGCAGCTTCAACTCTCATTGCCAACCCACACATTTGCAATTACAGATAACCAAGAACACAGCTCAAGCTGGAGAAAACAAACAAGGGCACCACTGGAGCCATCCAGAGGAAGGTCAGGATTCGGAGTACTTGGACCCCTTGTGGACACAATGTCCACAAGAACCCAGGTTATTTTCACCAGTGTCTGATTTATGCCCAGACCCACTTCTTTACAAAAGTGAAATGGTTGCTGGAATCCTGGGGCAATGTTGTTTTTGTACCTTTCAAACAAAAAGAGCTTTTCTTTCTCCAACGATTGAACTAACACGGTGGGTTTCACAGTCTCAGAAGTTTCCACTACTCCCATTCCTCATCATCATTTTGGTGAGAGGAACATCCTCTCTGGTTGCTGAGGCCTCGTCTAGGGGTCCATCCTTGCACACTCTCTGAGGTCAGGTTTGTTGGTCAAACATCCCAAGCCAGACCATTCCCACCTGAACGGCGTACCTGAGGGAGGAGGTTTGGGAAACAGACGGCACGCCATGTACAGATATCGACAGTTGTCTGTAATCACGATCATAGCAAGCAAGGTTTCAAAACAAAGTGCTGTTGTGCAAGTGCCCAGGAGCCTTATAAACAGAGGTTCCTCCCACCCGCAGCAGCCTCGCTGGGTCCCAGGCTCTGAGCAGCTCCCCCATCTTCTCCTGCCGCCCAGGGTCCAGCCGGCATTCACCATGAGGGGCCTCTGCTTCGTGCTCCTGACCTGCTTCATCCTCTTTGCTCACTTTACCACAGGTGAGCTCTGAAGCCTGGCTGGTGTGGGGGCACGGGGGTCTCATGTGATGAGAATGGGGACCAGGCCATATTGGGGGAGTGGGTCAGGGTATGGAAATAAGTAATAAATCTGAGCATCAAGAAGAATGTGAATCAAAAAATGGAATTCTTGAGGCAGATTCTTAGCTTTCTCTTAATGGCCTGAAACATGGCCCTCAATATCTCTCAGGCAAAGTTTGGGGTCATTTCCCTGAAACACGGACCAGTGAGTTGGAAGAGACAGGCTTTCAGGCTGACAGGTGAGGTTGGCCTTGGAACAGATGATGGGGATAATGACCACGGAGGAGGTGCCATCCCCAGGGCTCATTTGCTATCCGACATCCCTGCCTGGGATAGAGCCCAGGATAAAGGAGAAAGCTGGACCCAGGAGCCAACACACCAGTGTGTGTTTCTCAGCTCTGATGCTGACTCGCAGTGTGCACTTAGACAAGTCACTGCGCTGTCCTCACACTCAACCGTGTCTTCTCCTGAAAAGGAGGACAAACCCCAGAGTCCTACAGAGTCTGATTGAGGACAAACAAGGAAAGCTTAGGAGGGGGCTCGCAGAGCAGAAGAGACATGCCAGGTGTGCTCCCCCTCTGTGATTCCTACCCTTTTACTGTGTGTGTTCTTGACTGGATGGCCCACAATGACAGGCCCACATGCCAGCCCCTCCTGAGGCCTGGATGCTGCACAGAGGACAGCGGGACAGAAGGCCACTGACCCCTGTCTGCTCTTTCTGCCCAGTTCCTCTGGCCCAATCTCTCCTGTCCTTTTGTGCCCAGGGCAAGTTGGGACTGTGCAGGCTGTGGCGGTTCTCATGAGGCTGCACAGAGTCCCCTTGAGAATCTGGAGCAGAGGCTGTACGCTGGGGTGCAGGCAGGGGAGCCTTGAGTCAGCATTCGGGGCAGACACTTCAGTACCTGCCCTCTTTAGAGCAGAGGCTGTCCTGCCCGCCAACCAACACAGCAGTGGCAGCAGAGCAGAAGGAGCGGGGGCTCCGTAGGGTTTCTGAGGGAGGCGCCTGCAGAAGGAGCCGCTCCTGCCGGCTCTGCGGTGCACCTGTCATGACCCCGCATTCACAGTGATTACTGTTCCCAGTGAGTGACTGAAATATCTTCCACTCCACAGCCCAGGTCCTGTCTCTAGACACGGGAGAGAACTGCAAGCGTGTTGGTGGTGAATGTAAATTTTTTTCTTGCCCAGGAGATCATGAAACTATCGGTTCCTGTTGGATCTTTGGAATAGGGCAATGGCTAGCTGTGGCTAGCTGAAAGACACGGGAGCACAAGCAGCCTGAGAATGAAATAAAGGGCCGACTTTAACTCTGAAAGTGCTCTCATATTATTTCCTGAAAATAAAGAAATGACCCGTGCTGCATTTAAGAAAGTGATTACCACGTGTAACTGTGGCTGGGAGAGACGTGTGTGTGGAGGCCAAGAGGGAACTGACACTGCACGACAGGGCCTAGATGTGGGGAAGCCTTGCGTGCCTGGGATGAGAGATGCTTTTACAAGGAAGTGTTGGGGTTTCAGGTATGTGCTGAAACAGGGGATTCTAGATCCCTAATTATGGGAAGATAACTGTAGTGTCCCCATATATGGCAGATGTGTATGCAGGGGGAGAAAATGGGGGACATTCAATCAGAAATTCACCTTATTCTGTTTTCCATTAATGCTGAGCCATTTTCTGGCCTTTCAAATGTTTATCGGTTGACTCTGTGAGACCCCACCCCAGGTCGTAGTGGCTTAAATACCCACCACCTACTGACCTCGTGAATCCATGGTTGGCAAAAGGAGCTGGGCTCAGCTGAGTGAGTCTTCTGGTCACACCTACCAAGTATTAGTCCTCTGGGGCTGTCATCACAAAAGACCACAGCCTGGGTGGTATAAGCAATAAAAATTGATTTTTTTCACAATTACACAGGCTGGCAGTCCAAGGTCAAGATGTCAGTGAGGTCGGCTTCTTCTGAGGCCTCTCTCTCTCACTTGCTGAGGGCTGACTTCTCCCTGTGTCTTCTCCTTGTCTTCCCGCTGTGCACACTTGTGTCCAAATTTCCTCTAACGTCAGCACAGCAGTCATCGTGGCTTATGGCCCACCCTAATGACCTCATTTTGATTTAATGACCTCTTTAAAGACTTTATCACCAAATATCATTACATTCTGAGGTATTAGGGGTTAGGATGTCAAGATATGAATTTCGGGGGACACAATTCAGCCGAGAACACCTGAGCTTACTCCTGCGTCTGCAGTCAGCTTCTGGGTTGACTGGGGCTGCGTTCTGGCTGAGACAATGGGAATCTCTGAGTCGAGTCTCTTCGCATCTCAGACTCATCCTGGTTTGTTCTCATCATGGTATCCAGGGTCTCAGGAGAACCAGAGGAAGCATGCAAGGTGTCTTGAAGTCTAGGCTGATAAGAGGCCCCCTCTGCTGTCTTCTATTGACTGAAGCAAGTCTTTTGATCACGTAGACTCCAGAGTTATGGAAGTAGACTCCACATGCAGATGGGAGGACATGCAAAGTCACATGGTTGAGGTCCAATTCAGGGAGAGAGGTACAACGATGGCCACGCTTCCATCGACGACAAAGAGTATCCTGGGCCCTTCTACCTTTATGTGCTGTGTGTTGTGTGAGGGGCTTAACTCAGCTCCGGGGAAGGCTCAGACCTTCACAAATGCTGCCTTACAGACAAGATTCTCTGGAGAACTGTCCAGGTGGATCAGGGCTCTGCTTTGAAGATGGGACCCAGAGTCCTACCAAGTATACTCCAGGGCTGTGATGGTAGTGGAAGAACTTGCTGAAAATATCATGCACAACTAATTGCAGAGAAAATCAGAATTTTCTGGAGTCCTTTATACTTATTTTACCCTTTACACTGTATTAGTTTTTGGAACTTTTAGAGGGGAAGGGCCCTATAATGTCATCAGTGCTGAAAGCCCCCAAAGGACTTCATCCAGATCTTTCCTTCCCTGTGGACCTCTATGTCATTGGAGGCAGTCGTGTCTCTCTCTACACCCAGGAGCAGGACTGTGTTGGGGGGAGGTAAAGGCAGAGCCATATCACCCCCATCATCTCCTGCAGGTTCCTCCCTCCAGCTGCCCAAGGTAGGATGAACTAGAGATAAGGCAAAGAACTTGCAAAACAAATGCATCTTCAAAACCATCCTCCAAACCCTCCAGCTTCACTGCTCTGTCTAAATGCTTCCTACGTAGACCTCTGGAGACCCTGCCTCTGCCCACACAGCCCCCGAATCAGAACATGGTCCAAGTGTGAGACTAACTCTCCTGCTGCATCTTCCCCCTGCCCTCTCCTGCTGTCTAATCCTCTCACCACACACATCCATACTGTGTTCATGCCCACGGGGAAGGACCTTCCCTGGCTTAATTGTAGCTCACCTTCCTGCTACCCATGGGAGTTATTCACCTCTTGCTCTGTTCTCCCTGGACATGCATTGACTCTGGCTGTTGGATCCTAAAGGGTGGAGGAGAGGAGAAGGGAAAAGTCTGCACAGTGACTGGCTGAGGGAGAAGGATGTCAGCAAATCACCATCTTTTATAACCCCAGAAAACTTCATGTATTCATGCCACCAGTAATTATTGAGTGGTATCTCTGCGTCTGTCAGGTCCTAGAGTAAACAACTCAGATAATATTCCTCCTCCTCCTCATCTGCTGGAGGCAGATGGACAACGAGAAAATCAACTAATTAAGTGACACCCATGCTGAGAAGAAGAAGAAAGCAGAGCTAGGGGATGTCTAGTGTCCACAAGGTGCTATGTTATACTGGGAGGCCAGCATGAGACTGTTTTGGGTTTTTTTTTTCCATTTTCTCAACACAAGCTTAACATAATGGAAGCCATATTGTAGAAAAGAAACCATATTGTATCTTTGAATGACCTCAGATCAACTAACCTTGCTGGATATGTACCCCCCAAGACATCCACCTGCTCTGTAGATTTTATGACCCCAGCTCGTGCACATACCTCCCAGCTGCGATAAGACGATCACCCCATTCTTTTGAGTTCCTCAGGAATGTGATGATCCCTTGAGCAGAGAGTCTACACTGACAGCCATCATCAATGACAACTGAAAGAGCTGGTGTGGTGACTCCTGGATCAACATTCCTAGCCCCTCCCCTTTAACCCACTGGCCTATATAACTGCTTCAAGATTCTGTGTCCCTCTTAAGAAGGTTCTTTTGGACATTAGTCAGCCATCTTCCCTCTTGCTAGCAAGTTGTAAGAAAATGCCCTTTCTCTGCCACCATCTTATGTTGTTTTGAGTACATACATCATAACACATAATCATTGTTAAAGAATTCCCCCAAAGCTTTTATCCTTTTTACATTTATTCAGTTTGCCTGTGTCCAATAATCACTTAGAGTGCCTACAAAAGTTTATGAGACATTAGACAAAATTAGCCATCATGGTAAGTTATTATTTTGGCTAACTAGTTTTGTGGTAGAGATAACATCAGCTTATTTGACCAAGAAACGTAGAATAAAGGCTGCATGTTGCATCAGTGCCAATGCTGGTAACTTTAAGAACATGCTCATTTTAAGCAAACCATCAATCTTAAATAAGTTTTCAGTTACCAAAGACTAACTTTATTATGTTAACTTGAATGACATTTGGGTTAGTTTCTATTACATTTAGAATTTATGTGGGCACTTACTTTTAGACAATTGAATAGAGCTCTTTAGAAATAATCCCATGCAGAGGTAAAATATCACACATATAACATATATATATAGACTCACATACACAGAGACTGCACAGCTGTTGTTTTAAAGTTTCTGCCATGAATCAGGTACAAGCCTCCCTAGTTATGAACCCAAATTTTCTTTTAAGCCTTTTACTAATATTTGTGCAGAAGACAATCAGGGTGCTAGATTTTTGGCGAGGGCACTCTTATGACTGTCTTTTTTGCGTTTTCCTTTTTTTTCCCCTTCAGTTCTAGGAATTAGTGATGGGCTAGATATTCCTCAGAGCATTGGCAAGCTCTTTGAGATAAGGGAAATGAGTGTGACCTGAACTGCCTCCAGAGCTGCATTTACAGTCTTGCATGGATTTTTCTTAAGGACAATTGCTCTTCATTTCTCAGAAATTGGGTTGTAAATTGAATCACATTGTAAGTTGATCTATGTGTCCAAATACATCATAAAAGCACAGAGAAACCACTCAAGTTTTCTCCAAGATGGAATTTCTGGGTCATATTTGGCTTATCAGTTTTTAACATTCCAATACCTACAAGCATTTATGGCTTGACTATGGATGAATGAGGCATCCCCAAAAGAGAGTGCAAAAGGAGAAGCTCTCACAAGATACAGAAAGCTCCCTCCCAGAAATAGTCCAAGAAAACAAAGGCTTCTGCTGCACAGGCGGTAGTGCACTACCAAGGAACAAAGGTTGAGACAACGAAGGCCCCGATGGACTGGGAACCCTCAGGACCAGAGAGCTCATAAAGCCAAGCTCTCAAGACTTGGCTCTAGACAAAAAAAAAAAAAACCCCTATCGTATTTGCACATTAAGATTTTTAGCTATGCTTTGGGTCTCTCGCAGCCAGGCTAATACCTAGGTGGGATGTGCCATGGGGTTGGGGATTGTGTAAGAGACTTATTCAGGTAGTGAGCGCCTTAATGGCTCTTAACCCCCTGACCCATGCCCACCAATATTCCAGCCCTTTTGGCTTCCAAGATGCCCTTAGCAACAGCTTCCAACTTATGCGCACACTGCATGGGTGGGCCCACAGCAAAGCCTACTGGGCTGCCCCCCCGCCCCGCCCGCAGACAACGGGCTTATGGAGGGTCTGCACTTGCTCTATGATTTTGCCTTTTTATGACAAATGACACACACATGCACAAAACAGAGACAAGGAGAAACACTAGCTGTCTCTGGGAGAAGGATCAATACAATGAGTCCTCAGTAGTTCCTACGACTTACTTGTAGCTGAAAGTAGCCCAATTTGAGAGAAGGCAGCCTAAGGGGCTACAGGTGGGGATCGAATTAGCATTTCCCATTGTTTCAGAATCTAGACATCGCTGGTCAAAAGTATATTTATGCTCCAGCTAGAATCAGATCCGGAAAATTTCAAGCATCCCTGAAATCAAGGCCCTTACAATGAAGGCCCGGCCAAGGCTTTCTTCTAATGACCAATGTAATTCGCCTGAGGCTGACGGCAGCTTGGAAGGACTCTTAGCCACAAGCAGGAGCGCAACCCGCATTTCTGTCCGACTATCTCTTACTGCAAAATAGGGAGAAACCACATTTCTGTCCAACTGTATTTTGAACTCCCCCCCAACAAACTGACAGTTATCAAGGCAAGCCCTCAGGACACAAAACAAGCTTGGTCACATTCTGCTGTTCTCTGTAAACATTTACAGC